GGGCTTTCTCTGTTGAAACCGTGTTAAGGGGTTACGGTTTGGCCTTTCACTTGACTGATGATGGACCCGAAAGGAAGGCCGATAATAGCAATGTTGCCGAAATCAAAGTATGGCAGATTAATGATGGGAAAGTGATGGCTGCCATAGTCAACAGTGTCAAACAGTCTATGATTATGAGTCTTTCTTCGTTTCGGACAGCCAAAGGAATGTGGTCTTATTTGCAGCAGCGCTATGTTCAGGATAGTGGTGCTCTCTTACACACCCTTATGCAACAAATTCATGTGATTGAACAGAATTCCATGTCCATTGATGAATACTACTCTGCTTTTGATCGTTTGATGTGACCATTGATCTCTATGGTACCTCAGTGCTCGGCGGAGGAGTGTTCAGCACATAAGTTTGTTGAGAAGTTCTTTATTTATCGCTTTGTCATGGGAGTCAGAGCAGAATTTGAGTCCATTCGTACACGATTGCTTCATAACTCCTCTACTCTGACCATGGCACAGGCATTATCTGATTTGATTGCTGAAGAGACTCGTCTCCATTCTCTGTCAGTTGCTCCGCCGTCTATATCACAGAGTGTTTTGGCAGCTCCTCAAAGGACATTTTCTCAACGGCTTAGTGCACCCAGAGGTGACTCTCCGGATCCTTGTAAGCATTGTGGGAAGACCGGTCACAGTCACGATAATTGTTTTACTCAGCATCCAGAAAAATTGGTTGAGTATCGTGCGCGCCGGGCTGCTCGGGCTCGTGGTACGACTTCTACTACAAAGGGGTCTGTTTCTGTCGCTGCTGCCTCTCCTGTCCATGCTCCTCAGTCTTGGGTCCTCGATTCTGGAGCATCTTTTCATGTGACATCTGATCACTCCCAGTTGGTTGCCTGCAAGGTTATCCCCAATGGTGCTTCTATTCAGACAGCTGATGGCACTTCTTGCCATATCACTCATGAGGGTTCTCTCTGCAATTCTCGTTTTTCAGTGCCTAATATCTCTTATGTTCCTAAATTATCTATGAATCTTCTTTCTGTTGGTCAGGTCACTGATCAAAACTGTTTTGTTGGATTTGATGACTCATCTTGTTTTATTCAGGATCGTCGAAGCGGGGCTGTGATTGGGACTGGCCATCGCCGTAAAGGTTCTTCGAGCCTCTACGTCTTAGACACTTTACATCTTCCCTCTTCCACTGGTTCTACCGCTCGTGTGTCATCTGTTGCCTCGTCTTCCACCTCATCTTTTGCCAAGTGGCATCATCGTCTTGGTCATTTGAGTGGGTCTCGTTTGTCTACTTTGATTAGTACTGGTTGTTTAGGTCGTACGTCTATCGAGTATAGTTTTCATTGTAAGGGTTGCAAGCTCGGAAAACAGCTGCAACTCCAATATCCTACTAGTATTTCTCATTCTACTAGACCTTTTGATCTTATTTCACTTTGATGTATGGGGTCCGTCCCCTTTTCCTACAAAAGGTGGCAATAAATATTATGTTCTTTTTATTGATGATCATTCTCGATATACTTGGGTTTATTTTATGAAACATCGTTCTCAGTTGTGTTCCATATATAAAGATTTTGCTCGCATGGTTCATACTCAGTTTTCTACTCCTATTCGAGTTTTTCGTTCTGATTCTGGTGGTGAGTAAATGTCTAACAATTTTCGTCAATTTTTTAGCTCTGAGGGCACTCTTGCCCAACTCTCCTGTCCTGGTGCACATGCTCAGAATGGTGTTGCAGAAAGAAAACACCGCCATCTCATTGAGAGTGCTAGAACCCTTCTTATTGCCTCATTTGTTCCTTCTCATTTTTGGGGAGAAGCTGTGTCTACAGCTGTTTATCTTATCAACCGACAGTCGTCTTCTAAGCTGTCTGGTAAGTGTCCTGGTGAGGTTCTTTGTAACAACTCTAAGGGTATGTTTGGTAAGCCAAATAAGCTAGCTTATAGCTTATTTGGTTAGCTTATAAGCTCCCTGTTTAAAATAAGACTTGTTGGGTAGGGCGAGCTTTTTTAAAAAGCTCGAGCTTATTTCATAAGCTACTTTAGATAGTTTTTCAAATAAGCTAGTTGAATTTTTTATTTCAACTAGCTTATCAGCTAATTTACCAAACACATTTTATCATATAAGCTAGCTTTTCAACTATAAGTCATAAGCTATAAGCTATAAGCTCAAAAATTACATATAAGTTATAAGCTAGGTTATCAGCTATCAGCTAGCTTATCAGCTAGTTTTACCAAACATAGCCTAAATCCCACCATTATACATGTACATGTATATGTATCTACATAGGCATACATGATTTAAGAATTTAACTCATAACCAATGTTTCAATCCGATATTTTTAATCCAGCCATGAAACTCCCAAAAGTTAATTTTAACACCATTGTTCTTAAATCAAGGTTTCCTGGGGAAGACCATGTTCATGTAAACTGTCTTTTCAATTCCAGTATAGAGAAGTCCGTGTGATGATGTGATCATAAAATTCTATGTTGGTATCTTTACACACACCAAAAGAAAAAGTAAGAATCTATTGTAGTTGCCGAGATCCAGTGAAATGGATATGTCAAAACACAATGTATATAAGAGGTTTCCCCATCCAAATATAACTCTAGTTCACAAAATTGCATTGTTTGTTCTTATATGTTTCAGTGTTGCTATAGTACAGTGCACGTGCAACAATGCATTGTTTTTTAATTATTACTTCGAATTATAATTTTTATTTATATAGTTTATTCAATTTTTTTGCATGATTTATAACATATGAAAGTAATCATAAAGAACAAATGAAAAATTGGTGTAAAAATCTTCATTCTTTAGATTAATCTTAATGTTGTTTGTTGGAATCTTGATTGTTGGAAATCTTGTTAATTCAGGTAACATTTTGAAATAAGTCCAGTTCGTAGGTATTTTCTAAACTGTAAACGATAACAACAACAACAACAACAATACTTGTCAAAATTATCGTGTGTTTCGAATCACTGGATAAATATTGCAATTTTATCTCTTTTTTGTTTTTCTTTTTGTTGAATGCTTCAACATATGTTTTAATTCTAGCATATTAATAGCGTCTTGGTATCATCTAAAATGGTTATTGATAGTGTTATTGTTTTTCTGGATAGTTTTTACCATTTGTTATTTTACTGTCATCCTCTTTGAAAAATGATAGTTTACTACTTCTATTATCATTTATGATGATCATTTCGTAATGGTAGTTGGAAGTTAATTATTTTATTTAATATAATTATTTTCTATACCACAATTTTTTAAATTGAGTTAATTATCAAATTAAGGATATATTTTTTGTTATTTTAATTGAAGGAATATAAAACCATAATTCAATTGATATTTGCTAGTTGAATATTCAGTCGCTAAACCATTAGGATAACCATTCACAGATGCTACTTTAAATAGACAACAGCTTTTATTTTTACTTTTTACTGTCTTTTTTATATCAGCACGTATGGCCTTGTGACAGGGATACTGCTGCTGCTGAAAACATTAAAAATGTATGTTCTATTCTGGTTGGTCAGACATGTTTTCTTAAGCTGGTTTTCAGGTTTTTTTTTTTAAAATAATTCCTTTATGTACGAAGAATTCCTTTATCCATTAAAAGAGTATACAACATTGTCAATACAGAGAGAGACAGAGAGTACCTGCAGAACTGACTTCAAATATAGTATTATATTAGGAGCATGCTCCATGAACTTGTTAAATAATGGTGTCATCCTAGTCAAACCAATGGCAGCTCCATCTAAGCATTTTGACGAAAGAGGCATACGGATGATCATGGAATCAGCTGATGACCATGGCATATTTTCATCAATCAACATTGGACTGAACTGATCAGAAAAGTGTGCCATCAAATTTGTACCTGATATTAGAAGAACGGTCACCAACTACTCGTTGTTGAACAACACCAGACAGATGCTCAAAATAAGATCCTAAAATCCAACATTTTCACTCTCTTTTCAATTACTTACATTCAAATATTCAATTAATAAGCTTGTACCCTGCTTCTGACAAAAAATAGTAGTAATGTCAAATAAAAAATTCATCTGGGAACAAGAACCGGAGTTCTGGAGAAAGATACATAATATCATTGAGTTAATCATAAAAAGCACATTGTTTAGATTTGACCCTGTAGTGAAAAAGCAACTGCAGGCCGAGTTATTAATATTTGTGCAATATTCAGCACCAGCATAGCCTCAGTATTTATACTTTTAGAAAATCAACAAGTTGCTACAATGGCAAAAATAATAACAGCATAGAGCATCATGTGCACAACTACAAGTTCTCAGGACTGCAACTAAAACAAAATGGATGGCCCCTGATATTGCAAGTTAGATTAGACACTACACAGAGCCGTTTTATGTAGTGGCTTCTCATATGACTAACAGCCAATGCAACAGAAAAGTGGCGGAGACATCAAATTAACATTTCTCTAAGAAATGCAAATGCAAAAATAAGAAGTTATCATAAAGACCTATGACAAAAGAATAGGCAAAATGTTGTCACCACTTCAACCATTACAAGTGATAATAGAATTGTAGACTAACAAAGAAAATAAAATACCACATCTAATGAAATATGATTCCTTACAATATGAAATATCCATTGCCTAGTGGCATTCCTGATCAACTATATAAATAGAAATAAAATTGTGTTACATTATAAGATGTTTAATCCAAGTACTCCAAAATAAAGATATCACAAAGAGACAAAACAATTAACAGAAAATGAATGTAAAGTATTAACGAAACAACAAAACAGTTACTCATACGCGAACATTGAGCCAGTTACTGTATTTGTCAAAAGTGTTATCTCATCAACTGATTGAAAATATCGTTGAAGCAAGACAAAAATGCATAGCATTTACTACCACTAGAGTCTGTTCAGGCATACCTCTCAGAGGAAAAACTTTAGCACAAGGAGAACGAGTTGAAGGTGTGGCAAGTGCTACACCACGAGGATCTAAAATATACAAGTAACCATCAGATATTACTGACGGCAGATCACTGATGGAGAAACAGCTTAGCAATCCCAAGCCATAGTTGAGATTATCACCCCTCAGACTCCATGGAGGAAGAAACTGGAGGCTAGCAATCTCATCTCCACTTAAGCTGGTTCCCTCCAGAACTGCCACCAGAGCAGGCCCCTGAAATTCAGCTGCATAGGTAAAGAAACATAAATATAGGCATCAGCACAATATGAGAGAAAACCATAACCAATAATATGTTGGGGAATTACAGTCAAGTAAGCTATTAAAGCACCGGATGCCAAGATTTAAAGGAACCACTGAAACTGGCATACCCAATGAACCATAGATGACCAGTTCAGAATCACATAATGGTAAACCCAAGCCACTGGAGACCTAGACAATAATATGCCACAATCTATTATCTATACATCTTTGGATAGATGTGTCAACGTACAAATCCACATTTACTTACCAAGATTGTGTTGCAGTAGAGTCTGACGTGGATGTTCTCTCTTGTCAAAGATTAAGTGAAGCTTTCTGGCTTTGCAACAATCAGCCAATTCAAGCAAGTCAAAGAGAAGAAACTCATAGTCGCCATGTGATTCCAGCAGCTCAGATATTTTGTTATAGTCCATGCACGGAAAATCTTTGGTGAACTCTTTACTGACTAAAGAAAGCGACCGGACAGACTGTATTCCCAATCTGCTTGCAAGGTCATAGCTAATAGAGGAATGCACAAAACGTTTTCCAATGACAGCATTGGTCTCCATCCATGGTGCATCATTATATACAAGATCACCGGCAGCTGTGAGCACTCCAGAAGAATCGGGAATCAAAAGTCCAGTAAGATTTTCTTGTCCTGACCCATCCATGCATTTATCTGAAATGGTCTCTAGGACGCATTGAACAAAATTTAACTGATCGGTTGATAAAGTCCCATATTTTACATCATTTTGCAACCTTCTCAAAACATTCAGATAGTCAGAAACATCAAAATTACGTCTGACGCCCAATGCCAAAAGCAAATCTTGGAACAATGATAACTCAGATGGTACCACATATAAGTAGGGGCTATATTTCACAGGTGAATCAAATGCAAGCACATCTGGGGCCACAAAATCATCTCCAATCCAAACCCATTTCACACCATCCAAGGAAGATTTAAAAATGGACATATGATCAGTGTTAACAAAATTTTGCAACTCCGAATAGATACATGGTATCTGAATTTTCAGTTCTTCATCATAATGCAACTTGTTCTCATTATAACCATTGCATAGCCCCACTAATTGTGTCAACAACATGTTCACATCCAGAGGAACCATCCAACCAAGCTTTTGCTGCAGGTACTCAGAACATTCGCCATTCAATATATGAAACTTGGATGAAACAATCCACATCTGTGACTTCGGTCTGGTTGTAACTGGTGCTGCTATTTTATGGCCTGAGCCTAACCATGGAAGCCCCTGAACTGGTGGTTCAGAATATACAAGACACCAGCTGATGGACTGCAGATCTGACCAAAAACCTTCTCGCCTCGTGTCATCAACCAAGTAATTGAGTAGTGAATCAAGGTCCAAAGCATTCGAATTGAGGTCTGGAGAACCGTAAACAGGATTCTTTTCTTCATTTCCATTAAGTTGATTTTCCAGAGATTCAGTATCAGCAAACCGTTCTCCCTCTTCCGCACGCAATTTCAATGATAAGGCATCCAAACAAGAAAGCAATCTCCCTGCAAGTATTAATGCATCAGAATTCCCTGATTCATACAACATTGAAACTGATCTGGCACAATCGCATAAACCAATAGCACCCAAAGTCTGTTTAAGCCCAAGGGTGACTAATGTTTCCAGGATATCAGGGTCAGAGAACTCCTTTGATGGGAAAAAGGCCTCCTCATGGAGAAAAAATTTCAGTTGAGGAACACGAGGATCATAAAGCCTGTAATAGAAACCATTAGGTGCATGATTGAACAAGTCAGTATGGACAAAAAAAAAATGCTATTTAAAGTCTCATAAGGTTATTAACCATTAAACCAAATTCTGGAACAGACCTGAATGGCTCTTTCCAAATTCCATCTGACGTTTGAATGAATGGAGTTCTTGATAGAACTGATATGCAAGTGCTATCCTCCTCAATCAAGAATCTAATATCACGCAAAATGCGCAAGAGAAAACCCTCCTGAGAAATGAACTCCGACATTCGATGGAGTACATAATCTTTGTAGAAATCCACCTTCGATGGTTCTTTAAGACCTACAAATTCTTCCAGTATTATTCTTTCTTTCTCCGAGTCCAGTTTCACAAAATCATCATTTAACAGATCATCAGGTATGGACTCTGGTTTAAGCCATTTGAGAGTACTTAAAGATACGAGTCTTCTACTCTTATATGCCGCAAACATCGGAATATGCTTAATTATGCTGACATGAGTACTGCCCATTGAACCATCAGAAAACCACTTTGATTGGAGAATAAAACTTCTAAGTTCATGTAACCCCCCATCCGTAGAATCACCAAAGAGCTCCTCAATTTCATCTGGCTTACCGGCAACTGCTAGCAATGCATTCAGAATACCTATTGCTGTTGAGGGCTGCACATAAAGATGCAGCTGTTCATGTTCAATTGGGATATCACGCCTTAGTATTTGACATCCTGCTCTTTGCAACATTGTCAACATGTTTTCACTCCATCCGCCATCTCTGATTACATTAGAATTCTCAACAAGTTGAATGAGAAGATTATGTTCAACTGGCAAAATCGGCCAGTCAGAAAACAGTGAAAGATCACTGCAAGATGATCTCAGATAACTCCATAACAGTCTTACCCATTCCAAAGTGGGATGACCTTGAAAGCCAGGAACCCAAACCACCTGTTTCGCATGATGCCAATCAACCGGAATTAGCCTTACAAGTATTTTTTTGAGAAGTTGACATGTCAGAAAATATAAATTGAAATCTCCGCTATCAGCCAGAGCACAAAACTTATGGTGAAGATGGTCGGAAACCTCACAGTCTACCAAGAGATGAGAAATTGAATCCTTTAGGAGGTCGTATCCATCTCCCCTCGTGACATAAATTTGTTCACCAAACCCTCTCTCTTCTAGTTTTGCAAATGCACCACTTGAAAGTGGGATCAAAGGTAATCCAAAGTAACTTTTGGATTGAACTGGATTTGGAAGATCAAGGAAGCAATATTCAAGGGTTAAAATCATTGCATTTCGATCTCTGAATTCGCGCTTCCTCCTGATCAAGAGGGTTCGTAGTAAATGAGGAGTAAGAAAGTGGAGCGACGGACAGAATTCCATAAATTTGTCAACAATCTCCTTTGGTACACTGGCCAGAGGTAAACCAGCATCAGATAGTGCTTCCGAAAGTTCCCAAGAGTTGGCGAAACTGTGATCTGGAAGTATGGCTTGCTTGGTCGAAATCCACTGTCCTCCTCGGGTTTTTGTGTACAACACATGTAGACCACCCTCGGAAATATATTGGTAGAGCTTACGCACCAGTGAGGTCCAAGGTTCACAAAATCCTGTTGTTGTAGGCCAAAAGGAAAAGAATAAATCGCTAGGGCCAAATTCCAGTCCAGCTGTCTCAAGGAGATGAGCATAAGCAGGTGCAACAACTTCTTCAAGCAGGTACATGTTCCAGTCCGACCGCATTTTCCCATCCCCTGTCATGTCATCACCAAACCATATATCCCTTCGGTTTGATGACAACTCAAAGTACGCATTTATGTGAACCGGGAGACCAGTACTTATGGGAAGAGGTAAAAAGCAAAAAGCACGACCCTCAAAGTAAGATTTGCCTCGAGTAGAAGCTAAGAGTTGGTCAACAACTTCAGCAGTACTGGGATAATTCTCATCCATAATTTCCTCAGACAATTCTTTTTTCTTTATCTCAATAGAGTTGATAGGTGTAGCTACACAGGCCCAAGGAACAAACTTGCAAAACTTCTTGTCAAAGGATGCGAATTTATTAGTCCGTTTGAAACCAGCAAGGCATTCGCTTGTTAACCACAAATATGACCTACAATCGGATTGGTTCTGCTCAGACACCAAAAGCTTCTGAGACTTCCAAGGTATATCTGCATGGATGGATTTGCTCAGCTTGTCAAGGAACTGATCCTTACTCAACCTATCAACTTGGTTCTCAAACATAGAACTAAAGATGTCATGAAATGGACCCTTTATAAGTTCAGGCTCAGTAACACAATCCTTGCAAACACGGTGTATCAATTTCATTTTGGTATTAGGCCCTTCTTTCACAAAAATAGATATAGTCTTTACATTACGCAGAAAGAGTAGAGTTGTAGAAACCGCCTCGGAAAAGGAAGTAAACAATGACAGTACATCAGCCGGTGAATACGCTTCTCTCTTTATTTGGCTTCTAGAGGCAGCATTATCAGTCCTAAGGGCAAAACGGAAGAGAGTGCCAGGAAATGGATTTTGTAGATCACATCCAAAATGTAAAAATGGCGAAAACTGATCAGGAAACTGTTCCAAAATCTTTTTCCCCAAAAATTTAATCCGGAGACCGGGGTGGCTCGGTGAAACTCCAGGCAAATTACAGGCATGAGGATCAAACATGACTATATTTTCTCCTGAAACAAAAGTTGGAATATCAGTAAAGTGATAAACACAATTAAATCCAAGCCCAAATCTTCCAATTGCAAATGGCTTCTCTAGTTTACTCTCCTGGCCTATGCGGGAAATAGCATAGAGATCATGTGAACTGAAAACAGAGTCGTTAAAACAATACAAAGCTGGGCCCTGCCATTCTCCCATTTCAGGTGAAAGAAGAGAGGAACTCCCATAATGAGATTTATCCAACAAGAAGGTGACATTTGAAGCTCCTGCATCCTCAGCATTTTGCACCAACTCAAAAAGAACTGCTGGCCCATCAGCATACATTTCAAGTATATGTCTAAGCCTGGTTGTCAAAGCTTCATGCTGCCCAAATGCCTCAGCAGCTCCAGATAAACTCAAATTCATCGAATCAGCACTCTCTGCAAGCAAAATCCTTCTGAAGGAGCGTACCCCAAGCTTTTCAGCAATATCATGAGAAATATTTCCATGAACAAATTTATGAACAGCCTGTTTAGCACCCCAAGATAGAGCTGCATTTCCAAATAAATTATCAGAACCTTCAGCATCAAGCAACCATGGTGCATCATTGTAGACTAAATCTGTCGCCTTAAGTAGTCTCCCTGATACATCTGGAAGGTATATGTCGGTTTTGTCTTCAAAAATGCGAGCTTCAGCGAGGTGTTGTGCAATTAATGTAGCTGCACTTATTTCCTGAGGGTCCAGAGGAACAGTACCCTTCTTGGTGGCCATTCTATATAATATTCCTGCATAATCAGACGGCCGCAAGTATTCCCGAACACCTAGCTCCAAAAATAAGTCACTGAATGCAGCTAAATCAACAGGTATGATGCGTATGTAGGGAGCCAAATGAAGAGAACCTTGAAGGACAACTTCATTCGAGGTGGAAAATCCATCTCCCACCCATATCCACCGGCAACCTTCTAGAACAGCCTTTACAATATCAATTTCATCTGAACCCAGCAATGCCATTAAGATCGCATATATTCTGGGCATTGCCAAAGCTAGTTCCTGCCGGAGAACGGGATCGAAAACAATCTCATTGTTTTTCCCAAGCTCAAGCAACTGTGCGGCAATTACACTTCCTCCTGGTGGGTTAGACCAGCCAAGTTGATGGGATAAAGCTGATGAAGAGCATTCTCCATCCAGTATCCGCATACTTGCAGAAACAAGCCATGCATCCGAGGATAGCCTAACAAGCTTAGGAGGAGCAACCAATGATGAGACCATGGGCCATGGTAATGATGTGTGTGGAGGAGAGACAAGGACCGGGCACCATGAAATCAGCCTGAGCTCATTCCAGAACTTTTCCAAGTCTGATTTGAAATGACGGGATTTAAATGCATTTGGAACTCTGGAGAACATCCTATTCAGCATTCTTTGTTCATCTTTTGGTGAATCAGGCAGCCACTTTAATGCATTTACCTCCAGATATGACAGAAGTATTGTACCTCTTGAATGAGCTTTTTCCTGATTTTCATGCATTAAGTGTTCCACATGACGAGCACTTTGTATGACTGCATCAATAGATACAGTTGTCTTGAGGCCCAAACCTAGTAACATGTCTAAGACACTGGATTCCTGGAAGATCCCAGATGGAAAACTATCACAATCTTCAAGTAAGGCATATAATTCCTCATTTCTAGGATCATATAGCTCTTTCGGACTCTTCAGTGTGCCACTAACGGTGAGGACAAATTCCAAGTTTCTCAAGGATTCCATAAACGAAGCATTCTCCAAACATAATTGTGGTAGTTCTTGTAGAACTGAAAGCAAGACCATGTTGCGAACATCAGATTCCAAGTGCTTTATCCTATTAAACACATGCAGCTTGTAGAACTGTGTCTTCTTCATCCGCTCAATACCATAATATCTCAATAGCAACTCTTCCTCAGTGTTTGACAAATCACGGATGAATTCGCTAGAAAATAAACACTTTGGGCAGCCAAATGGGGGTAAGAATTTACGAGGGTTTACCAAATCAGAATAATTGATATTCTCAGTAGATTCGCCATCATACACTTTATATATTGGAAGCCACTTGCTATTCTGAATATGAGAATCGTCCATTTGCATTCCTAGAAACCATGCCGGATTTAGAATAAATCGACGAAGATCATCTCTTTCATTTGCTTCTAGAGGCTGAAGAAGCTGAGCAATACTATCACTGGAAGACACATCAAAGATTGAATTCAAAACACCAGAAGCATCAGAATCATGCACGAAATTAATTAAATCAGGGTGTTCAACACAATAATTGTTGTTTAGCATCTTGCAACCTATCTTACCAAGGATACACTGCATTCTCTCGGTTAATTTGCCCACATTTAGCAATTTGGTCTGCCTAGAAGGCCTATACAAATGACCACTTGTGGATGGTATTATGGGCCAATCTCCAAAAAGAGATAAATCCTGACATTGCTCCAAAAGATAACGCCAAAAAAGTAAAAACCAAGATGAAGTAGGATGCATAGAATTTGAAGTTGGATTCCATAACACCATAGTCTGATATTTCCATTCTGCTGGAAAAAAATTGGAAAATAATTGAGTGAACTCATTTACAGTAAAAACGACTAGGTTTGCTCCTGAGGCATTTGCTATTGATGTCAATCTGCCTAGTAGATTTACAGGAATGCTCCTATCAATTAGTCTATTTGAAATTCGTTGCAGAAGACCATATTCCAGATCATTGCAAATATAATAAGTGATTCCTTCAGCGCGTCCAGAAAATGAACCAAAATCACCATTTGCCAATGGAAGCAAACACAGGTGAGATGCATGAATGCTGACATCTGCATCTATCAAGTCCTCAAGGCAATATTCCAACAGCATGAACTTATGGGGTCTACCAACTGCACTTAAATTTCTGAAATCTCTCAAATAATGACGCACAGAATCAGGAGTAACAACTTTTTTATGCCTGACAGATTTGCAATTTAAGATCATACTAAATAAGTCACTCGGCAAAGGAACAATAGGCATTCCAAGTTGGACAAGAACATCTTTAATGTCCTTACTTCCACATATCTCCATGTCATGAAGAAATGCTTCCTCGGGAGAAATCCACTTTCCACCATCAATGTCTGAATATAAGACAGGGCAATCACAGATGCTCTTGTAAATATGTTCGACCAAAAATTTCCAGGGCTCTTCAAATGAACCAATAGGCCACAAAGAATAATATTTTTTTGTTGAAGATAGAAGTTGCCGTGTGTCGAGCAGTAATTTAGCAAAACTAGGTGCTACAACATCTTCCAGGAGCAACCTGTTCCAGATGGAACGAATTTTTCCAGTTCTATCCATGTCATCACCATACCAAATGCCACGACGATTTGAAGAAACCTCAAAGTATCCATTAATTTGAACTCTGAATCCAGTTTTTACAGGCAATGGGAGAAAACAGAATGCACGTCCAAGCGTGAGAACATCATCCTGTCAAGAAATCGAATAAACTTAATATTTATAGATAGCCGAACGAATTCCATACTTGACATGACAAGAAAAAAAAAAAAGAACACACTATATATTGTGATACTAACAGTTACGGCAGATTACACAACAAAATTTCAGTAAAATTCTACAACGAGAGGCATATAACACATGCATTTATTCATCAACTGCAGCTCAGACATAAGATCACACAGGGACAAAGAATCAAATTTCATCAGTTGTACGGTTGTACCTCATTCAACTTCTAAAGTCTATAACCATTAAAAGTACCATTACAAAGAAGAATAATACAAGAACCATGCGGATACAAGCATTTATTGAAGGAATGATCTGTTACACTTTCACCCAACAATCACTCAACCAATCCTAGTTATCTCCAGAATTCTATTTCTCGTAAACAGTATTATAGTCTCAATAAAATAAAAAATAAATAAAAACCATATTCACCATCACCACTCAACTCCATCAGCAACTATGTAATCCTTCATTATTTCCACATAAAGGGGATGGTGGTTGAAACTCAAATTCATGAACAAAGTTCAGGACATCAGGGAATGTTGTCACTGGAAGTAAGTAAAGAAAACATCAAGAGATGCATATCCCTGAGTGCATTTAGTATATGCAGATGTATAAGCACTCTAAATGAGCAAGGAGAGACATTTACACATATATTTGCATATTGAAAAATCAACATAAATAATGAAAACATACAGAGGCATGGAGGACTATAATAATATCATCCTATAATATGCTACTGAGTGCTGGAAAATTGCCTTAACGGAATCATCAGATATGCAGGCTGCAACTGATGCCCAAGGCAGGAGATGCATGCCATAATCCTTTGCTGCTGTAGCTGCAAAAGCACCAATTCTACTGCTCAGTGAAGCCATCATTTGCACTACATAAAACGTATGGGTCTGTACTTGTGAAACATTTTCAATCCCAGCCTCACTCAAGAAGTCCAGTGAGAAGGCACCCATCTTGCAGTCAGAAGCACATTCCAATTTAGAAAGTCTCTGAAGTACCTTGCGATGACACAATACATCATCATTTGCGGAACTAATAGAGCAGGAATACATCTTCTTTGGCTCAGGCATCCCTACATCCCACACATACATTTCTATGGATAATACACACTTAAGAAAAAGTAGAGAGAGAACTCCTTCCTCATATAGCTGAACAAACATAGAAGATACATCATCTTCAACATAGGTTTGCTTTGAAAGCATACTGTTCGCAGCCTGATCAGCATTCCTCAAAGGAAAACGAAATAAAGTTCCAGGGAAAGTGCTTTTCATGTCACAACCAAAAGCACAATACGGAAAGAATTGATCTTCGTATACTGAAATGGCTGAGGAACTAACATACTCTATTCGCTTCCCAGGATTAGCAGACGAGATGTTTGGAAGATAAACACCTTGAGGATCAAATAGAACAACATGGTTGCCGCTCACAAACGAAGGTAAGTCGGTCAAATGGTATACCGAGTTGAAGCCCACCCTAGAAAAATATGAGAATCAGAGAAGCCCATTTCTAAATTAAAACAGTTCAGATGTGAAATTAACAAATACTAAATCATAATAAATTATACACCTGTTCAAGTTCGGAGGATGAACAGAACTCTGTAACTTTTCAAGATTGCACATTTCACAATCACAACTAATTAATAATAAGCATGTGTAATTTGGCACATAAAATGAATTATTGAATCAAATTGTAGGGGAAAAAACAAAAACAGAAAGAACCAAAAGAAAATAAAAAATAATAGGAATGTTAATCTACAATAAGACATAAAGTTGTGAACTCACGGGCAAATGCAATTGTAATCCTGATACATAAGTAGATACACGAAGTCAAAGTAAATCATTAAAATTGTCCTAAAGAATAAGAATTGATGGGGTGGTGAGCTAAAATTGCAAAATGGTAATAATAATCATAATTTTATTATGATAATAATGCATGCTTGCTATTTGCATTTCCATCACAGCATAAAAACCATAACTCACCCTGACATGAATGTTTATAATAATTATTTATTCAACGAGAATCTTCAAGCATTTTTCACAAATAATAAGAATTCTAATATGAAGAAGTTAAAGCATATAAAGCTCCTGTCACAGAAGCAAGCTTATACAACTTTTCGAAATATTGAAGTCACGTCCACAGAAGCAAATAAAATGCAAAACCAAACTCTTTGATGGTTGAACATGTCAAGTTCACCTAAAAAAGTTTACGCCAGAAGATATATGAAAAATTAGCAAGTATCACAATGAACAACTGCTAAAAGTACATAGACAAACATAAATGATCACCAAATGATAATACTGCCTCACACCACATCACCAAACAACACCGCTGCCTCACACATTCACACGACATGTATGAGGCTTACAACATGTACTATCATTATCAATGTCAGTTGTGATCTGTTAGGAGTTACATTTCTCCCACATTGGCTAGTTACTGGGGTGTTTGTGTATAAGTGAGGGTTGGGCAGCCTCTCTCTTTGAACACGAACATGTCATAATACCAATGCCCACATACATTAACATTTTCGTGCTAAGGCTTATTAAATATATAACAGCACACGGACAGGTAGTCCGCCAAAAAATGTGAGGCTATCCAAACCGAACAATGCAGTTGTCGAAGAAGGTTAGGCATCAACACATTCAAATAAGGCAGCACGGCACCCATTGCCAATTTAATGCACATGTGCTAAACAAATAAATGATGGCAACCCCGAAAACAACTCACCATACCACACACATTACAATGGGCATTAACATATTCTAAAACGTCTAATAAGAGAGAAGGTGTGAATTTAATTACCCAAAGCGGCCCGTTTTCCAAGCTTTGTCCTGCTTAGAGCTGCCGCCAATCCGGGAAATACTGACGAAATCTTCCTCGGTGAAAACAGCGTCGTTGTAGGCCAATAGTGCGGGGCCCTGCCACTGGGCGAGGCTATTAGACAGTAGGGAGTCAACACCGTGCCTCCTCCGGTCAAGGCAGAGGCGGACAGTGGTGGCACCTGCATCGTCTGCGTTCTGAATGAGCTCCTTGAGAACGGTAGTGCCCTCCGGGTAGTTCACAAGAACCTCTCTGATCCTGCGCGTCAAATCCACTTTCTGACCGAAGTCTTCCAGAACGATCGCCGTGTCCATTTTCCCACCGGTAACAGTCGCCTGTCGCTGGGCTTTCCAATTAATCAATAACGAATTCCTCTTTCATGGTGAGAATGAGAAAATGGAGTTTCAGAGCAAAAAACAAAAAGGCTGATCAACGGTAAAGGTCACAAGTCGGCGAATTTTCCTGGTTTAGAATTTGGATTTAGGACGTGTGCTAGCCTGAGAGAAAGAAGCAACGGTGGTAAAGTAAATTTATAATGAAAAATAAAAAGCATCTGTAGAACTCAGAACTAGTATGGTATATATAAAATATAAACACGAAACTTGGCTTCTTAGCAAAACTGTAAATATTAAATAACAGAGTTTGTAGTCAAGTCCAAATGCTTATTTCATATAAAAATATTTTTATAAATATAAGGTCAAAATTGCAATTTAATACACCACCTTTTATTTTTTTGCAATTTAATCACCACCTTTAAGAATTGGCAATGTAATCACGACCTTTTCCATCTTTTGCAAAACGAACCACGACTCGCGATTCCGTTTACATAATGCTGACTTGTAACTGACGGAAGTTTAGAGGACTTGACGTGGCCATGTTGTGTCATTGACGTGGCGATGCAAAAATATGAATAAATATTTCAAAACCCTAATCCCTTCTAAATCCTTAATTCCATTCTCATTCCAAATATCCCTAATTTCCATTCTCATTCCAAATGTTCGAAAATTCAAAAGTTGCATACGCGGGGCATTGGCAAAGCCCCATTCATAAGAAATTTCATGTGTAAAGGACAATAGGTGGAGCTCATCCCTGTTTATTTTTTTTTTTTCGAGCTCATCCCCATGTTCTAAGAAACGCGAAGGATTTAGTAATTGGCATTTGTCTGGATTTGTTGAACCATGATTATTATTTCGAGTTAAATCACGAAATTAATTGTGTTGTTTTGTGGCATGTTTTCTCTTCTTCTTCATAATGTTGCAGTCATTCTTTCACAATCTATTTCAACTACGCAGGGTACATGATTAATATTGATGGTTTCTTGGATTTCTTTGGTGATAATATTCACTTAGTTAGTGGACTGGACTTGGATAGATTTGGTTTCTTTAATCTGGTAGAAGAAACTGAGAAGTTGGGTTGTAAAGATTGGAAGAAGATTTTTCTACAAGATTCCAGATACAAGTTGTAAAGTTGGGTTGCATCTCGCGGAACTTGGTTTGGTGATGCAGAAGGGACGCATTCTTGTCTTGAAGAGAGCCGACGACGTCTTGGAGTTTTTTGATGGACTTCCCATAGCTATCTCGGGCATCCTTGGCCAAAGGTAGAAATTTAACCAAGCTCTATAATTAAAGGAAACATAACAGTTCAACACACATAGCGAGGAAACACAATAAAAAAGATTGGAGCAAATATAGGACGAGCAGTACCTGGGCAAGCCATTAAACAAGCTGGTCGCCAAGTTCCGGTAGAGTGGCGACGTTGCCTTTGCAGTCGTCCTCGAGGAGTGTGCCCTCGAGGCGATTAACTACCTCATTCACCGAGGCCACGAGCAGAGAGGAGGACCTCGGGGCCAGGGCGTCAGTAGTCTGGCCGGTGCGTGGGCGTTTCTAAAGCCCCTCCATTTGATCGGTGCGGGGATGTTTTCCCGGAGCTACGTCACACCCCAGACCATCTTGGCCACCGGACTCGACAACGGTCTTGGTCGAGCCTGCAGAAGGGTTCTTGGAGGGAGATTGATCAAGAGGTGGTTTGGCCTGGGTGTTGGTTTTAGATGAGGTATTGGATTGGGAAGATTTGTCCTTGGTATTGGTGTTAGAAGTGGTGGTTTGGTTTTCAGTTTTTTGGGAGGAGGTTTGGTCGGTGCTGTTTTTGGAGGTGGTCAAAGTTTTGGTTCTGGCCGAAGTTTGGATTCTATCTTTTTCAGGGGGTGGTCGAGCAATGGTTTTAGGAGGATGTGGTGGAGCTTGTCGCTCTTGTTGACGCTTCTGGGGTTGTGGTTGTTGTTGTTATGGTTGTTGCTGCTGCTGTTGTTGTTCTTGTTGTTTTGGCGGCGGGTGTTGTTGCTGCTGTGGTTGTTGTGGCTGTTGCTGTGGTTGTTGTTGTTGCTGTGATTGGGGCCGAGAAGAGACGGTTGAACCCTGTTCATGTGTGATTTTACACCATATTCATATAGTATCTAGAGCTTGTTTGTCGCATTATTGGTGTATAAATTGCATTATTGTGCTTAATTCTATATTTGTTGGAAAGGTATTACGCGTGCTTGTTTTGTAGATATTTTCACATATTTGTAGAGCTTGTGGCTATTGGAGGCGCACGTGGAGTACCTAGGACCCCTGGGATGATGAAGGATTGATGCACGGATGAGAAAAATGGAAGAAACGGGCAAAACGGACAAAAACGTGCATACTGGGGTGTGACACGGGCAGTGACACAGGCATCATGCCCGTGTCATAGACCATGTCACGTAACTGGAGGAATACGAAGTTACAGACCTGACACGACCCGTGACACGACCCGTGACACGGGCGTGTCGGGTCGTGTCGCACACGCGGGCAATTTTTAATCCCTTGCCTTTTTGGATAAGGAGAAGAGTTTTGGACATTACAAAAGGTATGTTAACCCTATTCTGAAGGAGAGAGGTGGAGAACACAAGGAGAATGGCTTGGAACACAGAAGAGAGGCAATTGAAAAGAAGAGAAGATCAACCACAAGATTTCTAATTTTTCTTTCTCTCTTTTGAACTTATTTTCTCATGATGATTTCTAATATGTCTATGTATTTGAATTCAAACATGAGTAATTAAGTTTCTTTGATTCTAAGACATGGTAGTAGATTAATAGTTTGGGATTTTTGGATGATTTATCATAGTTGATTGTTTTCTTTTGAACTCTATTCAAATATTTTGTTCTTATTTCATGAATTGCAATTGGCCACTGCTTTTACATGTTTGATGATATTGTTCATAATTCGAGAGATGAGTTCAATATTAGATCTTTAATATTTGACACAATTTATTTGCTTGAATCGAGAGATTAGTAGATAGTTGTGAGGATTTTGGGTCTTTTAATCTTTTTGGAGTTGAATTGCATGTGTTGAGTGGAGACGCTAATATATGTGATTTAATCTACGGTTTTATCGATCTCGAGAGGGACGATAAGCTAAATTTGTGATCATCTTATAGGGTAGATAAAGAAAACATTTAGTTGTGATATTTTTTAAGGAACCCAACTATTAATTGAACCCAACGTCTTAGAATCTATCATTCCCATATATTTTCTTAAGTGTTTTTTCTAGCTAGAGTTTTATTTTTGCTTTATTCTCTTTGATTTATTCTCTTAGTTTAGCTAATTCATCCAATTACGATCGTCTAAATAAAGTTGACATTATCATAATCTAATACTTGATATATTAATTATTTGGTCTCTTGGGATACGACCTTGCTTGACACATACTACGAGCGAAGCCGTACACTTGCGGTCGAGCTTTAAAAATATAGGCGAACAAGTTTTTGGCGCCGTTGCCGGGGACCAATATAATTAGTTATATCAATATTACGATAGGTAGTGAAAATTTTAATTTAGATATATTTTTTTTAATAGTTTGTGACATAATCTCTCTTATTCTTGATTTCAGGACGTGCATGTTAACTCGTTCTAAAAGTGCACCACTACAACCCTTGATTGACGAAGTTGAAGCATTCACTAGACACAATAGTGCAACAACTAGAAAAAGAAGGGGCAAGTCAAAGTGCACAATGGCAGAGCAAGAACAACAGAAGCAAGCGATTCATGATCACTTTCGGCCTGAATTTAATAAAAATTTTGGCGGGATTGCGCATATACCCGTCAATGCGAATAATTTCGAGTTGAAGCCCTCCTATATCTCGATGGTGCAGAACAACCAATTTGGTGGACACCCGACCGAGGATCCGAATCAACACTTGACCCAGTTTTGCAAATTTGTGATTTGGTCAAGTACAATGGTGTCTCCGAGGATGCCATACGGCTGCGTCTATTTCCATTCTCTCTAAGGGATAAAGCTCGGAGTTGGTTGTCGATGATTTTTGATGGGAGCATTAAGACTTGGGAGGAGTTGAACCAGAAGTTTTTGCTTAAATATTTTCATTCAAGCAAGTCGATGCAACTCAAAAGCGAGATTACCTAATTCAGGCAGCAAGACTCAGAGCCTTTATACGAGGCGTGGGATCGATTTAGATATTTGTTGAGAAGATGCCCTCGACATGGTTTTCCAGATGATCAACAACTTTGTTTCTTCTATAACGGGTTGTTGGGCCAAACGAGAGCCTTTGTAGATGCGGCTGCTGGAGGAGCTCTATTGGCTAAAACACCGGAGGAAGCGTACAACTTATTGGAAGAGATGGCCGTGAATAGTTATCATTGGCCTTCCGAGAGGTCTAACATTAGACGAGTTGCGAAGGTGACGTCTTCTGATCCAATTAAGGAGTTAGTAGCTCAAATGTCGTCATTGACGACGAAATTAAATGCTTTGACAAAAGGAGCTGATGAGATGAGTGGAGGACAAGGCAACGTGTTACCACCAGACCCCTTAGGAGAGGCTAACTTTATCAATACTCGGAACTTCAACAATTATCGCTCCAATCTGATGTCGGGTTTCTATCACCCGAATAATAGGAATCATGAAAATTTTTTCTATGGAAATACGAAGAACGTGCTCTAACCACCACCGGGATTCAAGGTGGTGAATGGCGAGATTGTCGAAGAGAAGAAGACGGACATAGAAGATATTCTGACAGCTTTCATGAATGAGACGCGAAATCGATTCAACAGAGATGAAGAGAAGTTGGACAAGATTGAAAATCAAGTGACACAACTGGCTACGACAGTGGGAGCTCAATTGAAAAATTTGGAAATGCAAATTGGCCAACTGTCCAAAGCCGTGGGGAGCCAGCACCAAAGGGGTCAATTTCCGAGCAATACTGAGTTGAACTCGAAAGAGCAATGTCATGCCATCTATCTACGAGTTGAAACAGAGCATGAAGGTCCAGATATGTCGGAGA